TGTGAGACCAGAGCCTGGAATAAGAAAGACTCTTAAATGTTTGTGGAAGGAAGTAAGAAAGAAAGGGAGGAAGAGAGAAAGGAAAGAAAGAAGGAAGAAAAGCAAAGGGCAAAGAAGGCAGGGAGAAGAAATTCCTTGTCCACTGTTATGATGGGTAATGGCCTACCTTCCTCCTGCTTGGGGCCTCTTCGCCGTCCTTCCAATTGGCACTTCAGTGGAAGGCTTTAAAGGTGATTCATCTGGAAATCTGATTCTTCCCTCTTGTTCAATTACCTGAAAAGTTGATTTTTAGAGTCAAGAGTGAGTCAGCCATTTGAGGGGGCAGAGTGAGTGTGAGACGCTGACCTGCTGTCTGTGATGGATCCCTCGGCTCCCTCATGACCGAGCTTGCTGATTAGTTCTCGGGGAGGAGGAAAAGGCTGCCCGTGTGCGCCTGGAGACTTACGGGCAGAGCTCAGGGAGGCAGGTGCCTGGAAGAGCTCTGTCCTCCCGAGGTAGGGCTCCCAGTACGTGTTCTTTGGCACACTGTGACCCCCGCCCCCCCCCACCGCCCCCATTTCTCCCCTCTTCTTGGTCAAATTCTGAGCAGCAGGTTGATTAGGGAGAACTGTAATGGAGTAAGGAAGGAGGCGTCAGGTGTGTTTGGGGCAGATGGGCATGTCCAGGGAGGGCAGATAGGGAGCAACACCAGGGGTACGAGACTGAGGGGCAGAAAGACCCCTAGACACCCCAGCAAGGCCACATGATGGCAATTTGCTAACGTGGGAACCCACCCTCTCTCCGTTTCCATGTGTGTGTCCCTGAGGCTGACTGAGGCAGAGCCCAGGAGCATTATTCTGGGGTATGTGGCTCATGGGGCAAATGGCCTGGCTCAGGGACGCCTCCCTCCACCCAGCAGGGTCCTCCTGGTCCTTCCTTTGCAGCAGATGAACTCCTCAGTGCGGATGGCTGCCATCCCCTGCCTGGGTCTGATCCTGTTTCTCTGGAGCCAAGGGCCAGGGGTCCAAGGCCAAGAATTCCAATTCGGGCCCTGCCGAGTAGAGGGGGTCGTTCTCCAGGAACTGTGGGAGGCCTTCCGGGCCACAAAAGACATCGTGGTGAGTGACAAGTGTTGTTCGGGACCCAGCTGCAGCCACTACTGTGCGTGCAGGCTGATATTTTATGGTTACAGAGCCCTTTGCAGCTTGCTGATCATAACTTTGTGGAGTCTGAGGAAGCACAAGCCCACAGATCCTCTCACACATGAGGAAACTGAGGTTCAGAAAGATGGGATCAATCTGTAGGAAAATAAATACAGTCTAAAAGGAATAAAGAAGGGACTACATGTCAGGGGACTCCACCAATGAGGAGTCACAGGAAATCTTTCGATTTCTGGAGTTTCACCTATGGCTTTGCCAGTCTCCTGCTAGTCTGTTCCACCTGCCTGGGCCTTGGCTAAAGGTAGAAAGAATGGCTGATGCTGAGGTGGGATGGGGCAGCTTATGAAGCGTGACTGTGGATTTATCCTGGGCCTGAAGGTGATCTAACATGTACCCTTGCAAATGCACCCAACTCCCTAAACAACTGTCCAGGTGCAAGGCAGAAAGAGGATCTGGATGGGGCAGTGTGGAGGAGGGGACAGGGCACCTAGGGGTGATCCTGGCCTGGAAACCAATGCACAAGGGGTACAGTACCCCTGTTCCATCAGTGTCCTTTCCTGCACAACCAGGAGGTGAGGAGGTGGGACAAATGAGCTCTAAGGCTCAGTCATCACAAGGATTCTCGGAGTGCAATCCAAGATCTGGGATGCGTGGTGGGCGGCGGGAGGAGCTCCGAGGGCTTGAGGCAGCTCAGAGGTGCAGCCTCCCAGCCCCAGGGAATATGGAGCAGCCCTGCCCCTACTGGTTGTTACACCAGTTAGGCTTCCTTCCTCCCATCTCAAGTGACCAGAGGAATCACCCAGGTCCCTCGCCAGGGCTCTAAGAACTCCTGGGATTCCATCTGCCCCTGGGTGTCACGCTTAGCGAGTTTCTGTGGCTGGCACCTTGTCTCCCACCACAGGCTAGCTCGGCACCGCCCTTCCTGGTCCACCTTTGGTCCCTCTGGCCTCAGAGAGCTCAGATTGGGTGGGTGTAGGAGCCTGGGGAAGAAGCACATATTGTCAAGGCTGGCTTCTGTGCCAACCCCAACCTGGAGGCATCCTCTCTTTCTCTTTCCGAAGCAAGCTCAGGATAACGTCAAGAGCGTCCGGCTGCTGCAGAAGGAGGTTCTACAGAACGTCTCGGTAATCCAACCTTGGGGAAGGACCGGGCCTCCCTCTGAGGGGGCTGGTGTTCCCTGGGTGGGGCTGAGCTTGCACAGGACAGGGTGGCAGGAAGGCAGAGAAGTCCATGTCTTAGGTCATCACCCCAGTACCTGGTTTATGGGGGTCTAGGAGGGGTGTGGGGATTAAGGTTTGGAAATACCTTTCACCAGAGAGTTGCCGTCGATCTTTATTTCTCTTTTGCCTGTGTGGCCCCACAAGCATCTGCTTAGGCCTCCCACTCAATCCTTTTTCCTCACCCACTGCTGTCTAATCCCCACCCATCTGGACACTCACTGAGCACACAGGGGCTGAGCCCTGGTCACTGCAAGGTGCTGAGCGTCAGTGTCGGATCTCGAGGGGGCTAGAGTGCACTCCTTGTGTTCCAGGATGAGAGCTTTCTCCTCCCCTCATTTCTCCTTGCAGTCCTGTTCCCTGGCAACTTTCAAGCATCAGATGTCTGGTGCTTTTTAGGGTCCATCCCCTCCCACAGCCATTAGAGAGGCCACATGGTGCAGAAGAAAGGGTATTACTGGATGGGGACTTAGGAGTCCTGGAGCTAGGCCCTTGGCTGCCACTGCCCTGCTGTGTGACCTGGGCAAGTCTCTCCTCCCTGAGTCTGTGGCTCCTCCTGTAAGCCAGAGGCGCCCCCCTACATGGCCCTGAAGGCCCCTTCCGCTCTAGTGTCCAGCAGCACCGAGCAGACCCCTGCCTCTGCGGTGCTCCTCTAGCCTTGTGCGGCATGTGGCTGCTCGCCCAGGGCTGGGGTGGGCGGAGGCCCGGCTCCGCAGTGACCCAGACTCCCCCCCAGGATGCTGAAAGCTGTCACCTCATCCATGCACTGCTGAAGTTCTACTTGGACGCCGTCTTCAAACACTACCCCAGTAAGGCAGCTGAATCCAAGATCCTGAAGTCCTTCTCTACTCTGACCAACAACTTCATTGTCATCGTGTCAAAACTACAACCCAGTGTGAGTAGAACAAAGCTGAGACTGTGGCCCGTGGGAATCGCGTGTTTTCAGAAACACCCCCTCCCCCACCCCCTTATATTCCCTGACAGGGGTTCGTGGGTGTCATGGAAAAGAGCACAGGCTCTGGGCACCAGCAATTCTGGGGGCCAGCCCGGGTCTGCTTCTAACCAGCTGGGTGACCCTTTGTAAGGCAGTCAGCCTCTCTGGGCCTCAGTTTTCTTACCTACAAAACGGGGAGGATCACCCCTACCTGGCAAGATTGCTGGGAGAGTTGAAGGAGGCCGCCCCTGCATCTAACAGGAGTTCAGCAGCGGCACCTTGAAGATGTAGGATTTCAGGCCTTGGGAGGCCCTCTGGCTTCACCAGGAAGGAGTGGGAGGGGGTTTGTCTCTGTTCCTACCCAATTCTGGTCACAACTTTTGTTTTTCTATACTCCAGCAGAAAAATGAGATGTTCTCTACCAGCAAGAGTGCACGCAGGCGGTTTCTGCGGTTCCAGCGAGCATTTAAAAAGGTACTCAAAGCCAGGAGCTGAGACCTTACTCATCCAGCAGGTGGACTAACCTGAATGGCTGCTGCATGAGGGGGCCTCAGAAAACCAGTGCAGAATTCAGGGCAGGTGACCCCACCCGGGGTGCGTAAACTAGTGCAGAATTCAGTGTAGGTGACCCCACCTGACTTAGCAGAGCACAGGTATATTTGCACCAGTTAGCACATACTTCGCACAGGCACCACAAACTACACAGTCTACTTTCCTGTCGGTTTCACATTAAAACGCTGTTATATTCCCCATGAGATGATTTCACTGACGGGGACTTTCCCCACGAGAGTTCTGTGGCTGCTTGAACTGGGCAGTTGGAGTCCCAAGTGAAGGAGAAAGCCGGGAGCCCTTCCCACAACGCCTGCAGTGTTTTTCATACTCCTCAAATGGTCCAGTTTCTCAAATGGGGAAATATATTACCATCTCCCAAATTAAGATAAACAAAGAAAGTTCAAATTTCATCCCCAGAACCTCCCTATACTGGCCGATTTTGATCATGTTTTTGAGAAACAGACTTATCAGCCTAAAAATAAACGGTGAAGAGCAGTAACATACAAAGGAAAGGGGCCCTGGGCCTCGGTTTCCTCATCTGCACAGCAGGCTCGGTGGGGGTGGGTGGGTGCAGAGCAGATCCACCCCCTCTGGGATTCCATGGCTCTTGTCCGGCAGCGTCTCCCCTGCTGCTGCTGCTTACTGGTCCCTTTGTTGTTACCCCAAAGCCAACAACACACAAAGACAGGGGACAGGTGCTGGGTGGGTGAGTTCATCGGAGACCATCCCAAAGGTTATCTCCATGATTTGGAGTCAGGCCAGCTCTGGGAGTTGGGGGGTCAACGAAACCTATTCTTGGGGCTAACATGGCAGGTTTTCAACTCTCCTGTCCCTTTAGTTGGACATAGAAGCGGCTCGGATCAAAGCCTTTGGAGAAGTGGACATTCTCTTGGCCTGGATGGAGAGATTCTACCGGCTCTGATTGCCTAGACCTAGACACCCCCCTGGTTCTCTGTGTCATTTCAAACAAGTGTCCTTCCCGTGATGTACTCCGGGCACTTCACACCTTAGATGATGGGTCCCCTTCTTGGCCCAGGCTTGTCCACAAAGACTTCATCCTTTAAGTGGCCCCAGTGACAGTCATGGAAGTTCTCTGAGATGCTGTGAATAATCTACAAGCAGATCCTATATTTATTATGATGCAACTTGAGTCCTGTCGGTGTTTTAACTGACGTGTATTTATTTGTAGACTGTAAGTTCTGTGAAGGCAGCAGGAATAGTGCCCCAGGCCTCTCTCTCCTCCAAAAGCCTCATCGCCATGTGGGGTAGTGAAGAGATACTTGGTAAATGCCTAATAAACTGGAGTTTTTGCCTGTCTTTGAAATGTCGAAGAACAAGGAGGGGTGCTGGGAGGTGAAGCTGAACTCGAGGGCATGGAAATCACACTGTCATGGGATCTGAAGGAACAGGCATTGGGGTGGGGGTGACAGGCACTGGTTTGAAGTGTAAATGATAAAAGATACAATGTGCAATAAGTACCCAGCACAAAGCAAGCACTCGCCAAACATTCCTGTTCTTGCTGGTACTGCCCATCCCCCTCCCACCATCCTTTCCCCTTGGGTACCTTCATTCTTATCCTACTCATCCTTCCCTTATCTCCTGCTCAAGCAGGTGCCAGAGTCAGGCTACAGTGTCATCATAACTGGATGTACCGTCCAATCTAATGACATTCCCTGCTAATAAGAGCCAAGGAATTCAAGTCTGGCAGCCTCTCCTTTCTATTTCTGGACACGTGCCCAGTGAGGCTGAATTGTGTCTCTGGGAAGGGCTTTTTCCCTAATAGTAAGACTGGGCATTTTCTAGTCTCAAGCTCTGGCTGAACTTTGTCGCTGACTTTGATCCAGAGATACAATGTCTGCCTAGGCCCTTGCTCAGAAAAGTTAAGAGAAGGGATATGGCTCGGAAAGGAAGCAAGCCACATCAGGAGAAATGCTCTGGATACCCACAGCCCACCTGAAAACCACAGGGGCTGCAAAGGTGTGCAAGAAGAGTTGGGGGCACTGAGCTATGTATGCTCAGGGCAGAGAAACAGGGACAAAATTCGAGGTGAGATGTGGGAAGTAAATGAGGGCTCCAGAAACAGAGGGAGTTTGGGAAGCCAGCAGACAGACAAGGCTCATTGGCACCAAGGTCTGGGCCCGGGGAGACAGCTGGAGAGGTGAATCTGGGAGGGGATATTGACGTAGTCATCTGAATCAGTGTCCTCCAACCTGGCAACGGGCTGGTGGTAGATGCTCACACATTCACAGCTGGCCTTCAGAGATGCGGCATGGAGCCAGAGAGCTTCAGACACCTGGGAACAACCAAAGAAACATCACTGGATCTGCGTAGGGCGATTTCAGTATCTCTCCAGGCAGATTTCCACAGCAGGCAATTGGGCAATAGTGGTGTATATGCATGGTCGCTGACTTCTAGAAGGCAGACGTGAAGGGAATCCCTGAGCTCCATAAAGCGGCTCAACCCTGGGAAGTTTTAGGGTGGTGTCTCACCTTAGGTGACTGGAAAACACTTAGATCTAATGAGGCAGGAAATGGCCTCAATGGGGCTCAGTAAAATCATGTGGCTAAGCACGGGTCTGAAAGAAATCCAGTTGCTGGCGGAGTTTCCCCTCTGGGATTAGGTGATGTGACTTGTGGAATAAATATGCATATTCTCAGGCAGTTATTCAGAAGCAGTGACTCATCCCCTGCACCTCTGCAAGGGCTTGGAGAGGCCGTGACATGGCATGACAGTGCCTTCCAGGAAGGGGCTTGGCGGCCAAGGGGAGGAAGGAGGCAGAGCATGTGCAGACAGTGGTGCCCCTCCTTCCCAGACAGAAACTTCAGGATCATCTGCCTTCGGGCTGGGTCAGTTCTCAGAGGACAGGGCTGTGCCACGATCTCACTGTAGTTCAATTATGGGAACACGCACCCAAGAGGCTGTGGTAGGGAGCGGCACATATTTAAACACAAGAGCTGAGAACTAGAAGTGCAGCCCCCAGAACATAGTAGGCACTCAGTAAGTGTTCACGGAAAGGAACTATTACTTTTTGTATTTTACCAGAGGAGAAATGAGCAGCAGCTTGCTTCAAAAATATAGCTTCCACTGCCTGTTACAGTTCATCCTTCGAGATTAATTTGTCTGGCTTAAAAAATGAGGATACTCCCTGTGAAGGTTAAAATATTTGGAAGGAATGGTAAGATCTGAGCAAGATACAGGCCCAAGTGAGGGCATGTGTGGTCAGAGCGCAGTTCGAGAGAAAAGGGCTGGTGTGAGGGTGGGTGGACAGGATGGGCTCTGCTGGACCACACCTAAGCTAGTGTGGGTAGCAGGGGTGGATGAGGGCAAGGTCCAGAACCTGGAGGCCGCTGGCAGAGCTGATACTGCTGCTGGGTATCACTCTCCCCTTTCCAGTGAGGCACACCAGGGCCCAGCCAGACTGTAGTCCTAAGCCTCCCTTGAAGGTAGGTGTGACCACATGAGTAAGTTATGGCCAATATGATATGAGTGGAGATGGTGTGTGAAACTTCCAGGTCACGGTCTTAAGGAAGTAACTTTCCTCTTTCTCCCGCCTAAAAGCTGGAGCGCAGGCACGGTGCTCAGGATTTAGCATGGCCTACGGATCAGGCAAGACTCCAGATGATGGTGGAGAAACAAGGCAGGAGGCATCTGAGTCCCTTGAAGACCTCACGGCTCAGGCCACCTCTACCTGGCCCCCTGCTTTTGTCTGGGAGGAAAACGGGCTTCCATCTTGGGAGCCCTTGGTTTTAGGTCTGTGGCATTAGCTCAGTCTATACCCTAATTACAACAGGGACGGGGGCCACCCTTAGTTTTGCCTGGATCCTGAGGTAACAGTGTTTTAACTACTGTGAGAGGAAAATGTGTTGGAGAATAAAATGTTTTCTCTTCCTAGTTTGGGAAAACAAAGCTGAATGGAGAGGTTGGAGGCTTATTACCCATTTGCCAATGGCGATTTATAGAAACGCGAGTTCCCTATGTCCATTCCTAGATGACAAGAGGAATCTTCCTACTCAACACCAGCCTACATCTTGACACCTGCCCAGTCATCCCTTAGGCCAGGCTTAACTACCTCCGGGGGTGGGTAAGCTACCTCCTCTCAGAGAGTTAACTAGAAAGTTCTCCCGTCATACTGAAGTGAAACTGGGTAGCTTCCACCCCCTTAAGACCTCCTAGAAATGGAATCTCCACATGAAAGCCGTTTCTACTCACAGAGTTACCATCGATTATCCTCTGCTGAGCACCCGTTCTTCCCACGAGAGGTGCCTGGCTACAAGCCAGGTAACTACGTGTACCACGCCTGTGGGGCAGTCAGCTCACTGACACCCCAGGAAGAAACGGTACGTGAGGTTCCCGGCCTCCCGGCCCAGGAGCCGCTGGGAAAGCCCGCGCCCAGGCCCGGGGCCGCCCGTTCCGGCCGCGCCTGCCAACCCGGCGGCCGCGCTTACCTGCGGCGGGGCGGGGGGCGCTGAGGCTCCGGGGCCGCTGGCGGGGTCCTGCCGCTCACCTGGGGGGATAGAGAGGCTGAGCTGAGGCCGTGCGGCGGCTCCGGCCGCACCCCCAGCCCTGCGGAAGGCCCGGGAGGGAGGAGCGGGTCCCGCTGCGCCGGGCTTCCCCGGACGCCTGCGGCTGCGGCGGCCCCTCCACGCTCAGTTTCTGCAGGTTCAGCTCGCCCCCCTGTCCCGCTCGGCAGCCCCCTGCCCTGCCTCCCCGCTCCTGCCTCCCCTCCACGCTCAGTTTCTGCAGGTTCAGCTCGCCCCCCTGTCCCGCTCGGCAGCCCCCTGCCCTGCCTCCCCGCTCCTGCCTCCCCTCCACGCTCAGTTTCTGCAGGTTCAGCTCGCCCCCCTGTCCCGCTCGGCAGCCCCCTGCCCTGCCTCCCCGCTCCTGCCTCCCCTCCACGCTCAGTTTCTGCAGGTTCAGCTCGCCCCCCTGCCCCGCTCGGCAGCCCCCTGCCCTGCCTCCCCGCTGCTGCTCCTCAGCGCCTGCGCCCGCCCCTCCCCTGCGCGCCCCCGGCCGCGCTCCCGCTCACCCGCAGCGTCCGCCCCCCGAGGGCGCCGAGGGCAGGTGCTGTAGACGTTGTTTTGGGAGCGAGGTCGCTGGGACACGCGCGGCCTCCGTGCGGCCTCTAGGGTGCGCATCCTCACCGCCAGTCGGCGGGCCCGCCTGGAGAGGGCTGCTCGGCCCAGCCGAGGGGAAGGAGAGGGCAGGGGCGTCAGAGGGCATGGCCCTCCCTCCCCTCCCCTGGGCCTCCGGAATCTAAAGGCCGTCTCCCTCCCCTGCGCTTGGCGACGCGCGAGGTGTAGACGCTCAGCACGCGAGAGGCACAGCCTGGCCGGACACTGAAGACTAAAGGCCCAGCGCTCTTTGCGCAGCTCAGCCTTCCAAACCTACCCCGGCCTCTCACCTTTCCTCCTTTGAATGACCTTTCTCACCACCAGCCCCAGCAGCACCAGCAGGATGAGGCCCAGGACGGTGGGGATGAGGATGTGAAATCCTTGGTCTTCCACCTGGGGCGTGGGATGGCCGTGGTTGAGGGCTCTGAGGAGGGAAGGAGGAGGGGGGAGGCTGCGGCAGCACTCTTGAGCCGCCAACATTTTTGGAGATGATTTGCAGGTTTAACAGAATGATGGCTCCTCCCCCTAGAGTGCCTTGTCTGGGGAGTCAGAACACCTGGATTCAAATTCAGGTTCAGCTTTTTTACTGGCTGGGTGATCTTGGACCAGTCTCCTAACTTACAGAGTCTTATTTCTCAGTACACGGATATAGTAAAACCTATGTCACAGAACTGTTTCAGAATGAAACCAAATGTGGATATGAACGACCTGGCTAAGCAGCAGGCAATAGATGTCAGTTCTTCCAACGTCATGAACCTCAGCTTCCTCGCAAGGATACTGCACACATTAAATGAGTTAGTTTCTTATAACTGTGGGAAAGAGGATGCTTTTCTGAGGATGCTCCCTCTGCCTGAGTCTTCCCTCAATTTTCTTGGCATATTGAAATCTTACTTTCCTTAAAGGGCCAGTACATAAGTCCTCTTTTCCTCTCCAAGCTTGGTAAATCAGAATCAGTTTTTTTCCTCTCTGTCCCCAGTTCATATAGTTACAAGCCTTACCACATTCAGACTTGGATTAGTTACTAAGATAAGACCCGGATATTGCATGTTTTCATCTTTTTTCATCTTCAGGACATAGCAAGATACCTGGCACATAAAAGAGACTAAGAAAATGTCTGTTGAATTGACTTGAATTCTTGTCTGCTGGTAGGCTGGTACGGTTTACTGACCTAGGAATCAGATGTCCTGGTTCTATTTGAATCCATTCAAGCTCTCATGACCTCAATTTCCTCATCTATAAAACCCAAATGATGTAGGTTACTGACACATTTGTCTTTGCCTAGGCAAAGAGAATCCCAATTAATAGAGGTTTTCTGTGGAGTCTGCTCTCATGCTGCCCTTAAGGGTCCATTGCAGCATTGCACCCTAGCCTTTAGACCAGGGCTGTCCAATGGAAGGACCACATAGTCACGTGGGTAATTTAAAATTTCCTAGACCACACTGAAAAAGTAAAAGAGGACAGGTGAAAGTAGTTTCCATAGTTAATAGTTTCATGGTTAATTTTATTCTCATTTAGTTCTTTGCCATCAAAACAGATCTGCATGAATGCCAAGTGGCTCAAAGATTGGGGTCTCACTTCTCCAAGATCTCCTGCTGGAGCGTGGACAAGTGTATTCATTTAATGGGACCAGTGAGTTAATATGCTGTCATCATAGTAGATTTCACAGTGGCTTCTGGAGACAAAGCCAAGACAGGTCTCTGCTGGTGGACGTTGCAGGAAGATTTCGGCGGCTCTCCTCACCTTAAGCTCCTTTGCCTGGTTTCTAGCCCATCCTTACCTCTGCCTGTGAAGCCTGGTGTGGTGGTTGAAGCTGGCTGTCTGGGGCCTAAGCAGTCCCTCCTGAGCTGAGGTCTTTGAGGCTGTGGTGGATGGCAGGAAGGTTGGGGGCTTGGCAGCTGCTACTGGAGATGCTCTGGAAACTCGAGGGCTGTGGGTGGTTGGAGGGGTGGGGGCAGGGTGGGTCGCTGGAGAGGCCTCCATCCTTTGAGCTGGTGTGGTAGCTGCCGGAGATAGCGGGAAAAAGTGACCTTCCGTATATATGCTCTAGTCTCTTTCCTGAGCACACTGTTCCCTTTTACCCAGACTGTCTTTGTTCTCGCATGCCTCCTGGCCTGCGATGCCCTCTTAGTATGCTGTCTACACCCAGCAGATTCTACCTTTATTTACTTCAAACACCATTTCCTCCAAGAAGCCTTCCCTCACTTCTAGGCAGAAGAGCTTGCCCTCCTCTGAGCATGGAGAAAAACCTTGTTTGTAGTTCTGTTCCCACTCCACTTTGTGCTGTATGTGTGAGCTTGTCTAGTCTCCCCCAGCCCACAGCTGTCAGTCACAAACTGGTATATGATGTTCTGAGTTTACACTATCCTATTTGGCAGTCTAGTGTAACAGCATTCAACTAGTGTGTCTACCTCACAGGGTGAATGTGAAGGTATGATGGAAATATTACATGTCAAAATGCAGCTAAAACAGGAAATGATATGGAAATGTAGAAGTATTCCAATATGTAAGTATAATCATCAGCGATCTTTTTATTGCAATATAGAGTTGTTAAAATTACTGTATGCCAGAAAGTGGAAGACAACCCTGCGGGGAACAGGAGGCCTGAGGATTTCTGGCTGGGAGTTGTCTGCCCAGTCTTGTTTCTGCCGTTCGTAAAAGAGCTGGATTTTGTGAATGGAGCACAAACTTCATTACTAGCAGGGCCACCTGGTGGTAATATGTAAGTTTTGCAACCAGACCAAGTGTCCACAGGGCTGTAGGATGAATGTCAAGGACCGACAAGCACATCTCACGGAGGTACCCTCTCCTAAGTCAGGCACTTACACATCTGAGACTCAGCTCTGCTCTGCCAACCACTCTAGGAACTAAACACATACCACCTGCTCCATTTTCACAATGCCACGTCATCTCCCCCACCTCTCCTACCTTCTCTTTGGTGAACTGACCTTTGGATGTGAATTCCAAAGAACTGGCGAGCTCAGGCACATGGAGCCAAGCGGGCATCGGCATTTGTAGAAATCTACTGAGCCATGTCGGAATCTCAGGAATTGGCTCCTCTTCCCAGAATGGCCCATAGTCTATTAGAGAAAGAGGAATACACGGTGAGCTCTAGGAGGGGACAGGCCTGGGAAGGACTGTTGGTATGAGCTGAAGCTGACTCAGCTGGGGGGTGGCGGGGAGGGGATGCAGGCAGGGTCCATCCACCAAGTGGAGCTGATAAAGAACAGAGCGAGGGACTTCCCTGCAAGCAATTCTTGTTCACCCAACCCAGTCAACATTTCCTGCCAAACCACCGGAGGCCACTGAGACCCTAGGCTGTTGGATCAGTGCTGAGTATGTGTGGGTATGTCAGTGGAGACAATGAGAAAGGCAGGATTCAGGAAAAATACGCAGAAGGTTGCACCATAATGTAACAAGTTTGGCCTATCAATGTGGCTCGAAAAATGACTCTTTTCCCTTTGCACTTGTCCCTGATATTTCTCACGGGATGACTATGTAAGGTGATCATGTTCTTTGCTTCCAGTGTCCTCCAGTCCGAGTCTCTCCTCAGTCCCACCCCCGCCCCGCTTCCCTCACACCCTGTGGCACAGTGCGGCGTGAGGAGAGCGCCTGTCTTGTTCCTTTCTTACAGTTTGGGTAGAAAGTTCTGTGCACCATGAAGTTAACTGACTCTATGAGGTTTTCAACTACAGAAATCCCGATTATTATTGGTTGGACTGGCTAATAGGGCAATAATGTGAATCCGGAGGACAGCTAAAGCCTGATGGTTGTCCCAGCCTTCCTGAGTGGCACAGTTTCCCAAGCCTCCGCCAGGCGGGCACCTACCACTATGGACGTTCAGGGTGACTTGCTGGGTCTTGCCCCGGTCCGTGTTCAAGCCCGTCCCGCAGGCATAGACTCCGCTGTCACTCTCAGTCAGCTCCATCACCTCCACTAGGAATAGATTCTTGTCTGGACGTGACTTCAGGGTGACTCGGCGCTTGTATTCCTCCCTGACAAAGTTCTTGTTGGACACCACAGTGGCACATACTCCAGACTCGGCTACTTCCCGGCACAGGTATATCCTCACGTGCACTTCAGGAAGCGGGCATTCGATGATAATAGATCCACCCAGAATTCCCTCCAGCTTTACTTCGGGGAGGATCCTCAGAGCTGCAGCTACTGCGAGGAAAGGCAGTTAATGTAGAGGGAGCCTCACCCCGGCCACATCTCCAGCCCTGTTTCCCACCCAGGCCCCAGCCCAGCGTCACACTCATCCCCGATCCAGCTCCATGCCCACTATCAGCCCAGAAGTAAAGGTAACCCCTCAGCCCTTTCCTGATCTCTAGTCCTGGCCCCATCCTCAGCCTCTTCCCATCCTTAACCCTATTTACACCCCCTGTCCATCTCTATGTCTGTTCCCAGCCCTGTGGGGGTCCCTCAGACCTCTTCCCAGCCGAAGCCTTAAAGTAACCTTCAGCCTCATTCAACCCACACCCATAAGGACTGGTACACCAGCCCTCTGAGGACATAGCCACGCTTACTATCCCACCCAGGGACAGTTGTTGTGCTGTGGTGACCCCACCCAGAACTTGACTCCCAAGTGGCTTCAGGTGGTGTTGGGCGGCAAGGCTCAGCTCTGCTATAGCAGGTTTCCCCGCCCAGTTTTGTTTTACAGATCCATTCAGCCAAACAACCACTCACCCCCAATCCTCTTTGTTAAATCATTCAACAAGCATTTATTGAATGCCCTTCGTGTGACAGTAAGATGGCAGGTATCCCTCCCCTCACAGAACGAATCATTTGGGGGGTGATACAAATGGACAGCGCCCCCAGCTGGGGTAACGAGCCCCTTGACAGAGATGCACAGGGTTCCCTGGAAGCAGCAAGCAGGGGCACCTGGCCCAGGCAGTCGCAATGGGATGATGTGGTTTGAGGAAGGCTTTCTGGAGTAAATCAGGTCTAATTTGCAACAGAAGGAATGGGTGTGGAGGGCAACTGAAAGAATGATTCTCTTTACTGAAGTGGGAAATGGGCAGAGGGAAGCCAAGGGGGTATATGGATGTGTGTGCATGTGTGCACATTGTGTGTGTGTTGGGGAGGCTGTGGAGCAGGGAGGGATAGAAGACGTGGTTCATGTGTGCCTGACATCAAAACGCTTATGCTTTGGCTGAGAGAAGGCAAGTCTAACGCAGCTGAACCAGAGGAGAAGAGGGTGAGGCCAGGTAAGACTAGGTGCCAACTAAAAGGATCCCTGTGAGTGTCGGCGTATTTCTGGAAGAGGGCTCACAGGATGACATGTGTGTGTTGGGGTGGTGGGGGGACGTGAGTGCAGCAGGGGAGACCCTTCCAGACAGTGAGAATGGCTCCCACGAAGGTGGGATATGAGTGAGAACGGGGCATGCTCATGGGGTGGAGAGAAGTCCTCCAGCTTTCTGAAATTCATGCAAGGACCACGTGTGAAGAACAGCTCCAAGGAGTTTAGTAGAACCGAGAGAGTCAAGGGAAGAAACAGGCCTTGAGGCTTCTCTGGATGAGCAGAGAGATCTGAGGAGGACATTCTGGGGAGAGGGAAGAACATGCACAACAGTAAAGAGGGAGAAATACCCTGGGAGTGTGAGATGGGAGCAGAGGAGGCCAGAGAGGGGCCAGGACGGAAGCATTTACAGGAGCTCACTAAGGTGCCGCTGGTGTTAACGTGGGAGGGAGAAGCAGAGGGCCAGCCGGACACGTACGTGAGATCCAACATAGAAACCCTCACACAAATATCTCAACGCTGCTTTAAATCTGCTGAAAACCGAGATGTACGTAGCCTCATGAAGTAGCCTCATGAATACGAAATGTGGCTATGGAAGGGTGACCTGTTCAGCAGACAGAGACCCTATCAAGGGGATGGGGGGATTGCTCTGTGTTCAGGTGATACACACCTGTGTATAAAGCCCAGCATGTGAGAGTGAACACAAAAATGTTTTTGGATCAACCCGGCCAGAAAGGGGCATTAGCGCTGCTTTCCCAGAGCGAGATGCTATAAAACGGGCAGGGGTAAGACGGAGCAGAGAGCTCCTCCCCTCTACTAGGCAGGCACCTCCGGTGGCCTGACTCTGCTCAGGGAGCCTTTGGTAGTAATTAGGGTTAGATGAAGTCATGAGGTGGACCCCTAGAGGATTAGGGTCCTCATTCCCTCCATAAACCTAAGAGGCGTGCACACAGGGAGGCGGCAACCATCTGCGAGTCAGGAAGAGGGCCCTCTGCAAGAATCATCTCTGCCAGCACCTTTATCTTGGACTTCTGGTTTCCAGAACTGTGAGAAATAAATATCTGTTGTTTAAGCCATGTAGTATATGGTATTTTGTGCAATAGCAGGTGTTTTTTTTTTCTCAAAAAACAGAGAAAATATAGATATAGCCCCTTGGGTTAGAACTTGTGCACAGTGTATGTAAGGCTCATAGTGGGGGAACTTGCTAGGAAGCAGATGACCTGGTCCTGCCCTTCAACTTGGTGATCACATCTGTCCAGGGTGGTGAATTTGCATATTCAAATAGGCTTCCAAGGTGCCCTGAAATTTTTGTAGTTCTAGGATATGTAACTGTATTTCTGAATGATTCTGGGGAAGAAAGGGAGGGCTATAAGGTATCTAAAGGAACTAGTTTGCTTAATATTGATATTTTAGAGAAGCTACTAAGTGACATTAATCTCTAAACTGGTGACTTGATTTTCAGTGGTGGTGGTAAGGGAGAGATGTGTGATTTAAAAGTCACCCTCAATATATAATTGGATATAAACATATGTTTGGGACATGGGAAAAAGCATAATTTTTATAATGCAAAATAAGGTCTTGGCAAAAAAGCCCCCAAGGTCTTGGCTGGTGGCAGAGCTCTGGAGATAAACTTTGGATTCTATGCAGCTGCGATTTTCTAGATAATGTGCTGACAAGGACTCTATTGACTCAAATCATAGCGGAATTTCTTGAAGAAGCAAGCTGGCTTGAGATTTTTATGTGTATCAGACAGAACATGGATTTTTTAAAAAAAGGATGAGAAACATGCTACTCAACTTTCCACTTACATACACTGTAAGTGCATACACTGACCTACGTGTGCCCAAGCTCGCTGTTGACCCTTCGCCCTGTTGCAACGAATGGAGAGTCTCCCCTCCTGTCCAAAGCCGGCCCCCCTCCCACGCCCTATGTCCGTCCTGCTCAGCTTCCTTAGAACATCTCTTCGGCGATCACCCCCTTTCTCGCCCTGCCCGGCGCTTTCTTCTTTTCCGGCACCACCATGGCTTATGCACATTCACGCACAGGCTCTGATGTTGCCCACATTGAAAAACTCCTGGTTGGCCTTTTGCCCCCCCTTCAGCTGCCACACCTCTTCTGTTCTCTCTTGAACGAGTCGACAAAAATCACTGGATCCACTTCCCTGCCTCTAATTCCTCTTTCACCCACACCTGTTGGAATTTGGCCCCCAGCATCCCATGGAGACTGCTCCGGTCAAGGTCACCAAACCTCCTTGTTGACTCCTGTGGTCACTTCTTGGTCTTTACTTCCTGGCTTCCTCGGCAGCATTTTAAGAACTTGAGCCCTCCCACCTCGGAACCCTTTCTTCTTGTGGCTCCACTGACACCATGCTCTGGGTGACCGACCGTTCCTTGTCCATCTCTGTGCTCACGTCTTCTCCATCCGCCTCTCAGTGCTGGGATACCCCGGGGCCTGGTACTTGAACCTGTTCTTTTCTCTGTCCTCATTTACTCTCCCCACACCAACTCATTTACTCCTGTGGCTTTTAATGCCAATGCTGTATAAATTTCACCATAGCATGTACTCCTGTCTTGTCTTTCCCTCTGAGCTCCACTTGTCGTTCTGATATCTCCACCTGGACTTCATTTGCATTTCAAACTTACAATGGCAAAAAGAAAAAAAAGAAAAGGAAGAAAAAAAGCTCTCTATTTCTCTTTCAAAACCTGTTCCTTCACAGGCTCTTCCCAGCTAAAAAGGTAAAACGAACATCCATCCAACTGCTAAAGCCCAAAACTCATCCTCATGTTCAAGGATCAAGAATAAATTTTAGATGTGTTTGTGCCTGTGTGTACTGGGTTACAACAATAGGTGTATGTGTTATTATTATTATTAAAGTTCAAGGTAAAAAAGGTAGGAACGCCTGTACCACATGAGGGGCCTTTGCTCTATCACAGAACTCCCCCTATGGCTCCAGGCAGTGTGGCCAAAGCCTGTGCCTAATGCCCTGGGCTCTGGGGACCAGGACAACCCCAGCATTTGCAGGACTTGGGGCAGGAATACAGATAACACCCAAATATAATATGTCTAAATATTTTAAAGCTATAAATCAAGCTAATAAACTGTTGAATGTGTTCTATCCCTGGCTTGGACGGTGACTGATGAGGAATTGGAAGTAGGGTGTTAGGCATCTTGAAAGAGTGTGCATCTTGAAAAATGCACAAATTCCTTGGATGTCTACTCTAAAAAGTGGCTCTGGGTGGAGGAATGGCCCCAAGTTCCCTGCCCCCACCCCCTGGCCTATCTCCCTTCTTTTCTCCTCCCTGACTCCTGCCCCACCATAAGGGTACTGGTATACACATGGTAGATTACCCAGCTTACACGTATAAGCTCTGTCTATCTCTTTCTAAACAGCCACCCACGGCCATCCTTATATAGGCCAAGGGGTCATCTACCCTACATAGAAGACACAGAGGAAGCTCACACAGTCATTGAAAGTGGACCCAGAGTCATTTGGAAAGGGAATGCAAGGTCTAGAAGAAGAGGCATGGGTGTGGGCTCCCCAAGGGAGCTCTTGAGCCCAGAGCAGGGACCCCTCTGGGGCCCAGCTGGAATGGTGATATTGTTCAGGATGGACTGTGGTGGTCCAACAGGAGTACCCTTTACTCCTAGAGTCCTTCCCCTGGCCCCAACCCCTCTGTCCTCTCAGGTCTAAGCTAGCTAACCATCCACTGTCTTCACATATGTCCTATTACCTTTCATAGAATCTGACATTTCATTAAAACTCCATTCCCAGGGCTTTGGAGCTTTTTAATCTTCAACTCAACAAACATTTGACTTTCTTCCATACTCAAGCCATCACAAAGAAAGCAAATATGAGTAAACAACTGTATTGGCCCTCAAGGAGCTTATCATGTAATCAACTAAATAAGGCAGACACAGCCCGAGCCACAATTCAAGAATGGGATCAGCTATAGGGGTTCAGAAGAGGGGGCTCTGGGACATGTCCAAGAAGGAGGTGGAGGTTGAGATGGAATTTAAAGGACCCATAAAAGGCAGAGGTGAGAGAAAAGACGTTCCTGATGAGAGGAATGGTGCGAGAAAGGCTGTGCTGGCAGGAGTGTCAGCACGTGCACAGGGAGGAGTCATGTGCACGGAGGTGAGGGAAGCACAGGGGAGAGTGGCAAGCTCAGAGGATGAGGAGAGCATAGTAGTGGAGTTTGCATTTAATTCTGTAGGCCGTGGGAGCCACAGAAGTTTGCTAGGAAGGGTGACCCCGTGATGAGAGTAGAGCTTTAGGAAGATTAATCAGGAACTAACAGGCACGTCAAGCTGGAGAAATGAGAAAGTTTGCTAGGAGGTGAATGTGTGTTCTGTTCCTTTCCCTCCCTGCTTTACGTCTAGTGGAGGCCGCCATTGCTTCTCATTCTGATAACACAACGGTAGCAACTGCATGAATGGGCCATTGTTTGGGCCAAAGTCTGGGTGGGGATAAATGGTAAGAGATGATAAAACGTCATTCTGGCATTTTGTGGCTGATGTCAGGCATAGTTAAGACAGACGGAAGAGCTGGCTTGGACGGTGACTGATGAGGAATTGGAAGTAGGGTGTTAGGCATGTTGCATTTCAGATCTTGGTGGGATAGCGAAGTGGGGGCTGCCTAGGAGGAGGTTGTAAATTGAGATATGGAACCCAGGAAATGGATCGGGGGGTCCTCATTTAGAGCTGAAAGTTGAAAAGTAGGAGTGAAAGAGATCCAAAGAAAGAGGATATAGCGGCGAGAAGAAAGAACTTCGGAGGCACTTGCTTTAAGATCCCATATCAACAGGCCAGTACATCTGGGAAAGGTGACAGCTTCAGCCCTTATGAACCAACCCCTCAGCCAAACAGGAGATGCGTCTGGAGTGGAGAAAGGGGAGTTTGCCGGGAGTGGAGAGGGCCACAGTGTCTCAGGTGGCCGTCATCTTGTCCTGCCCTAGACACTGGTTTGCAACTAACCCTATCCAGACAAATCAGAGCTGGAGCCCAGCCAGTCCCCTACCTGTGGCCAGTTCATACGTCCTGAGAAGTCTGAGGTGTCTCCGCATGGCACTTACCTGGTAAGAAGTACAGTGGCCAAAGCCAGAGGTCCATGGCTCCGTCCAGAGCAAAGTCCCATCCAAGAGCCCCCGGCAAGGTGGGCGGGGACCCACTGCTCTCCCAGGAGCCCCGCGCGATCTGGAGCTTGAAAGAGGTTTCTGGCCTGCAGGAGGGGCCAGGCTTGAAAATGAGGAAATGACAACCTGTCTTGTTTGCCAACCAGTCTTAGATTAAAAAAGAAAATACCAGCAAACCACAGCGGAAATCAGGAATTGAGAAAACATGTTGTGCTAAGTGAGAATGAGTCTCCAGGGTTCAAAGGGCCTCTAGGCAGTTCCTAGACTATTCAAAACCACCAGGCATGCTCCTTCTTGGCCTTCGACAAGTTTTCTTAGAGGGACCTCCCAGGCTCCATGTACAGTCACTGATTTCCGAGCTCTATCCCTGTCTTCAGCATAAAAGAGCCTCGTGGCCAGTTTCCTCTGAGGAAAGCTGCATGGATAGAAGCTTGAGCCTGAAGTCAGGAGGTGCTGGTCTTAGCCTTGAATTCATTAGACAAACAGTTTTGAACACCTACTATGTGGCAATACTAAGCATAGATTTTGAGGGATTCACTACCTTTCTCTGAGCCTAGATTTGATTATCTAGGAAGTATAAGTGGGATGACCCCTCGCCTTACCTCCTGCAGAGCGTGGTTCTTGGGGTCTTAACCACAGCTCACCCAATACCTCAGATCAGCCACCCCTTGTCCCCACCAGCTACCCCCCTTAGGGGCTGCCCTCTGGCAGGGGTCCAGGCCACCAGTGACCACAGGGGAGGGTGTGATAGGTCACACAGCAACTCTGCCTGAAGTCACAGCAGCCTGGCAAAGCCCCCTGCAGGCCCCCGAGGGTCCTGCGGGGAGGCTCAGGGACTGATGGACAAGAGGAACACCGAGGCAATCAGCCATGAGGTGTCGAGTAAAGAGCTTTGGGTTCCAGTTGGAAGAGCTGAGTTCTGGCTCTAGCATGGCACTTTCTAGCTTTGAGTTTTCCCATCCATAAAATGGAGCCAGCCCCCGCCCTGTCCACCTCATATGGCTTTCATGAGGCTCAGCCGAAACACAGTCATGGAAGTGTTTTAAGAGCCTGTCATGGAGATGCATTGGGTTATTATGGGAGGAGTCCCAGGGCTGCATACCCGGACATTACATCGCGGGCTGGGTGGGGGGCCCCCACCTCTGGCCTCTGGTGCCCCTGGAGGCCTCTGCCTATTCCCATGCCCATTCCAGGAGGGTATGACTGACAGAGGCTCCAGGGTCCTCTGTGGTCCTGTGCACACAGCTCCCCACCAGCACCCCCCACCCACACATATTTGTCACATGCTTTTCAAATCACAAACGACAACATCCGTGGCGGAAGTCAAATGGGAGGCTCACAGCAGGTGCAGAGGAAGTACGCATGGGGGCGCACAGCCTGCCCTGCCCACCCCCCGTTTGGGTGTCCAGCAGCCCAGAGCAGCTAGAGTTGTGATTTCCTCTAACCACCAAGTGGGCAAAGGTGTCAGAGGGCAGCCCCAGGCCAGAGGCCGCGGCTCAGCAACCTCTCCCAGCCCCTGTTCAGAGGGCGCTCCCGGTACTGCTGCTATTGTCTGACATTTCCTGGACTCGAGGCCTGGGATTGCCTTGGAGAGAGAATAAATGAATGAATGTGATGGGAGTGTGACTGTGGGTGTGAGAGTGTGTGGGCATGTGAGTGTGTCTGTCGTGTGACAGTGTGAGGAGTGGTGTGGCAATGTGTCACATATGCTATGAGAGTGTGTGTATAGCTGAGTGTGTGAGTGTGAGTTGTGTGTGTTGGATGTTTTGTGTATGACTGTGTCAAATGTGTGCTGTGTGTGTGAATGTGTGGTGAGTATGTTGAATGTCTAGTGTGTGTGAATGTGTGTTGCACAAGTGTGAATGTGTGTTGGGTGTTGTGCGTGTGTGTGTGAACACATGTGTCTATGGAGGTGGCTGGTGGCACTGGGCCTGGGCCTGCCAGGCAGTGCTGGGAACTGTGGGATGAGTGGGTAGAAGAGATTTTCACAGCATGTGTGGCAACACTTAGGGGTCTGAGGACTGTCAAGTGGGCAGTGAACACTGGAGTCTAAGGGGCCTCGGCCCGTCCAGTCTCTACCTTCAGATGTTGCCCCAGGGTACTGGGGCTGGGACCCCAAGGGAAGGCTGATCCCTGGCTCCACTGCAGACTGAGTCCTTGTTCATCCTCTCTTTTTTCCCTTGTGAAGTATACTTCTCCCTTCTGACTCTCAGGGCTGCGCTGTTGGCTGTGATCCCACTCCCCCGAGAAGCTCTGCTGAGCTGAGTGTACTGACCGGCAGGGGGACTCAAGGGCCTAACATCCCCCAGGGGCAATTTTTGACCGGAAGGGATGAACCAGATGGAAAAAATTCAGAGCCCAGTGACAGGCAGGTGGAGGAAATAAATAAAGCCAGAAACACTGGAACCATTCGAAGTTTTTTAGGTAAATTCATTTAATCTCCATAATAACTTAGGGTTCTGTTATCCACCCCCCATGTCACAGATGCAATCAGAAGAATCCTTCTCATAAGGATGTGAAGACAGCGTGACATAAGCATTCCAGAGGACACAGTGCGGTGGAGATCGGCCCTGCCACGCAGGGGGAGGCCGCTGTCCTCGCTTCTACTTAGTGTGTTACCCAACTCTGACCTCCCATGCGACCAGGCTCTGAAGGACCATCTCCTGGGCCTTTCCAGACCTGCAGCTGAGGTCCACAGGTGCCCCTCCCCATGAGCCAGCACTGCTTTCCCCAAAGACGGGCTCTGAGAATCCCCCTGCTTGCCGGACTCCCCTGGGAGCCCACCCAGGCAGAGGGATCTGGCTCAGGCATCCTGCGGTTTCTTCTTCCCCAGAACTTGGACCACAGGCCTGCCTGTCTCACAGTGAGCTGGTCCACAGAACAGGGCTTTGGGAAGGGTGGTCTTTTTAGTGGACCTACTTGTGACTCTGCTACAAGAAGTGGTCAGGTTTTTTCCCTGAGTGTGAGCATATTCCTGTTGGTATTCTAAGGTTGGAACCCAAGTAAGTGGCAGTAATGGATGAACTTTAATGGGATACATCAGTGAAAACCTGGATTTTAGAATATTTACCTCCAAATGTTTAAACAAAGACTTTTGGCTCTAGTAAGGGTAGATTGCCTGCCCATTTCTTTCTTAGCCTTAGGGAAGGCTTTACCACATCTCTACAACTTCTTGCAGCTTGACCGTCTTCCTTCCCTTTCTGTGTTAGCTTCCTGGCCATCTGGGGGCCACTGGTCTCAGCCTTACCTCTTCTACATCAGTGTGCCCCCATCTACCTAGATATGTGTCTTTCTGAGAGGATAGCCTATTCATTTTATTGCACAGACACCCTAGTAGAGTTCATTATGTCAGAGAAGCTTGGTGGCGGTGGGGAACTCTACTTATCTCTCTGCCTTTGGGACCAGCTTCCCAGATCACCTACCACAAGTCCTCTCTGCTGTCTATCATTCTGAGGAGGAATGTTCTGTCCTGAGACTTTCAAAAATCTTGGACAAATAAAAGAGATATATGTTTTTACTTTCACAAACCAAAATCAGCTGCTATAACCAGATTCTAAGCCACTAGTAGGCCTTAGTGAGGTATACTCATTATTACATAATGGATTTTTAAAAGGAAAAGAATCTAGATAATTCAAGAACTTGAGGAAGATTTTCCTGTCATCAAAAATATACAAGTAGTTCTCTGAATGGCTGGACCTGATCACTGCTACCTGATTTATCATCATTAATCCTTCAGTTGATTTTACTGTCCTGTACTGTGAGAAATAGTATCCCTCCAAATTCATGTCTACCTGGAACCTCAGGATATGACTTTAGTTAGAAACAAGAACTTTGCAGATTTAACTCATTAAGATGAGATCAAATTGGATTAGGTGGACCCTAAATCCAATGAATGGTATCCTTCTAAGAAGGCCATGTGAAGACACAGAGACACACAGGGAGAAGGCCATGCCATGTGAGGATGGAGACAGAGGCTGGGGTGATGCACCCACCAGCCACGGAACACTGACAATTGCTGGCCACCACCTGAAGCTGGGGAAGAGGGATGACCAGATTCTCCCTGGGAGCCTCCAGAAGGAACCACCTCTGCCTTTACCTTAATCTCAGACTTCTAGCTTTCAGAACACTGAGAGAATAAGTTACTGTTGTTTTAAGTCACCCAGTTTGTAGTACTTTGTTATAGCAGCTCTGGGAAATTAATATACTCCCCAAGTTGGTGACGTTTTAACTTATTAGATACCCCATCTCAACTACAGACCAGCTTCCTTCTTGATAGAAGGGTCTTTCTGTCCAACATGCTGCAGGGGGAGCAGGTGGACTTTGAGCTGTACCTGCTGTCAGCTATTGACGTTATCAGTTAAGATTAATAGGTAATTAATGGAATACTATTCAGCGTTAAGGAAGAAACAGGTCCTACCATTTGCAATCACATGGATGGAGCTAGAGGGGATTATGCTCAGTGAAATAAGTCAGGAAGAGAAAGACAAATACCAAATGATTTCCCTCATTTGTGGAGTATAACAGTATAACAACGAAGTAAAACTGAAGGAACAAAATAGCAGCAGATTCACAGACTCCAAGAAGGGACTAGAGGTTACCAAAGGGAAGGGGGGGAGGGCGGGTGGGGAGGAGGGAGAAGGAGATCGAGGGGTATTATGGTTAGTGCACATGGTGTGTGTGGGGTCATGGGGAAGACAGTTTAGCACACAGAAGACAAGTAGGGATTGCATGGCATCTTACTATGCTGATGGACAGTGACTGCAATGGGGTATAGGGGGAACTCGATAATAAGGTGAATGTAGTAACCACATTGTTTTTCTTGCGAAACTTTCAGAGGAGTATATATCAATGATACCCTAATAAAAAAATAAAGAAGGAAAAAGAATAATAGGTGATTGTCAGTGCCTTTAGTGACATTTCTTGGCCTTTGATTCCAGGGGCTGGGATAGGCTGCACGACCTCCTGGGCTGGCTTGCAGGCTACTGGCAATACAGAAGCTGCACCTTTCCTGCTTCCTATGTCATCACGTGGTTGTACCGTAATTTATTTTACCCGTCTTCTACCATTGGCCATTGAGGTTACCCACTCTTTGTATTATAAATAATGCTGTGATGAACTGCCTGTCCTTA